GGGCTCCCCCACGGGCCCCCGCTGCCCACCAGGAAAGCCCTGCCCAGGCCCACTGCTCTCCACCTGGCCCTCCTCAAGCCCCAGGACACGGCTCCCTAAAGCCCCCAGACCGCCGGCGGGGACACTGCCGCGGGCACCCCCAAGGTGGCAGGCCACCCCCTCAGCGGCGGCCACGCTGCACCTTCGCCGTGGCATCCTGGCCCGTCCTTCAGGGAGCCGGAAACCAGTGCCACGCTTCTACCACCTGAGGGGGCCGGCCCGGGCAGGCAGTGGGCGGGGAGGGACCCAGCCCGGGCTTGGTTGGGGGCGGGTGGGCGGGCGCCCAGCTGGGGCTGCCTACGTGGGTGGGCGCGGCCCCACGTCCAGCGTCTACCAGGCCGTTTGAAAATGGACCCGGTCCTGGGACGCGCCGGCCTATAAGGAGGCCTCAGGGGTGAGGGGCACCCCAGGCCCCTCTGGCGCGCCCCCCTTGCGCTCTCGGGCCCTGGCCGACGCCCTGGGGTGCTGTGATGCGTAGGCACCCACAGGCTTTAAAAGGGGGCTGGGGGGTGAGAGCAGCTTTCAGTTAGTGTTAAGGTTCTGGGAAGTGTCTGGCGCTCAGGAACCGGCTGTGACTCCTGCAACGCTCAGGCTTTCTGGGCCTCAGGACACACAGCAGGCCCGCGGCCCCCCGCGGCCCCCCGCCCCCGGCGCCAGCAGCCCTCACCTGCAGGCAGGTCCAGCTCCACTCCGACCCAGGTGCCCTCCTGGAAGTCGGTGGGCCCCACGTAGCGCACGACTCCCACTTTGTTGGTGCCCACGGAAATGAGCTCGCCCTCTCTGAGCCACTCGGGCACCTCGCTGGCCTCTTCGGAATCAGAGGAAACGTCCAGCTTCCCCAGGGCCCGGCCCTCGAAGCAGGCATCGCCCGGCCCTGCCGAGGCCGGGGGGGCCCCCTCGGCACCGGCGGGGCAGCCGGGGTCACCGCCCAGCATGCAGGAGAACGACGTGAGCTCAGAGGAGGTTCGAACCTTCCGGACGCGGAAGGGCGGGGCCGCGGTGAGCGACAGAGGCAGCGGGTCCGGGGGCCGCTGTGCTCTGCTGGCGTCCGCCTCGCAGCTGCCGGCCGGCTTCGCCGGGTCCTTGGGGCGGCCGAGCTGCGGGGTGGCGGAGCACACGTGGCCTCCATTCTGCTGGCCGGGGGACTCCAGGGAGGCCGCGGGGGGGCGGGGAAGCGTCGGGGAAGCGCCTGCCGGCTCCTGCTTCTCCGAGGAGACTCCGCTGGCCTCGGGCGCCAGGTGGCCGCCACTCTGCTCAGCGGACCCGGCCAGCACAGGCATCCGGGCAGCGGGGCTCCCGTCGGGGCAAGGGACAGCAGGTGTGGGCGAGAGCTCCTCGGGGGTGACCAGGCGCAGGGCCAGAGGGGGCGAGCCTGGAGTCTGGGCCGCGGCGTCCAGGCCCGGGACGGAGGCGTCTGACAGGGTGGCGGTGGACACGCTGTGGGAGAAGTACCCGCTGGAGGCCTCGCTCAGGGGGCTGGGCGGCCCGTCCGGGCCGTCTGCGGTCTGCCAGGTGGTGGCCACGGGGAGCTGGGAAGGCCCCTGGGCAGGCCTGCCGTGGGCCCTCGCCCCGGGGACGGTCTGCTCAGTCGCCTCTGGGCCCCTGGCCTGCAGCAGAAGGGGAAGACACAGGTTAGCGCCCATGCGGGGCCATCCCCAGGCAGCAGGCGCACAGGCTGACGGTCAGGACTGACCCCCGCGCACACCTCGCCCAGCATCGCTGTGACCACCCCGGGGGCAGACACGGGTCACCGAGCTCCAAGCAGGCGCCGACTGCACCCTGCGGCTTCATGCGAAACCGACTCCCCGGCCAGCAGCCGTTTCCAGGCTGTGGTGGCCGACTGACAGTGTGGACCCTGGCCCACAGCGCCTAAGACCCCGGACCCTCCGCTGGGACAAGAGCCACGAGGCGTCCTGGAAGCCACGGGCTGCAGGGGCCCTGAGGCGGTGGAACGGGTCCCGGGCCAGAGCTGTCCACCCCCCGCTGGCCAGGCTGCGGGAGGGGCCAGCCTGACACACTCAGAGCCTGGCCACGGGCTGGGGGGCCGGGCGCGGCCAGCCTGACACACTCAGAGCCTGGCCACCGGCGGCTTCATCAGTCGTGTCTGTGCTGACGCCCACGTCGCCCCAACGGAGGGGCCTGGACGCTTCCGGGCGGGTGACCACGTCGAGATCGGGGAGCTGGGGAGAATGCGGGAAGCCGAGTCCCTTCCACCCGGGCTCGGGGTGCTTCTCCTGCTGCAGTGGGAGCGCGGGGGGCTGGCCGGGGCCGGCCGGGGGCTGCCCCCACGCGGGGGTGACCCGCCAGAGAGGCCTGCCCGTGCCCCTCAGGAGGACGGGGAGGGCGTGGCCAGGCTGGGGCGGCTCCGGGCCTGCGGGTGCCGCTCACAGAGTGAAATATGCTTTCCAGTATTTACGGAAAGATTATTTATATTCCCGGAAGGGCCGTTTTCCATTTGAAATACAGGATTTGTCTGAACTGGGGAGCAGCCGAGACCCATAAGTCTCTCACAGCCACTTGGCTTAACTCGCGTCTGATAAATCAGCGTGGGCACGTGAGCTGCCAGGCCCCCGCCCCGGAGGCCCCCCCAGGCGCACTTCCAGGGGGGGCGGCGCGCGTGAGATTTACGGCCGTTCTGTGATGGATCTGCAGGCCGCGAGAGCCACAGATCAATAACTGCCACCGGCATGAATACTCTAGAAGATTGGGCAATCCTTCCTTCATTTTTCTCCTGCGACGGGGCGGGCTTACTTACTCCTTCCTGTTTTGTTGTGGACAGGGCTGACCGAGCGGGGGGGGGCAGAGGCCTGGGCGCACCCTCAGCCCGCGCCCCGAGGACCAGCCCACGCCCCGAGGGGGCACCCCACGGAAGGGAGGGGCAGGGTGGCGGAGGTCCGAGCGCCCCAGCTGTCTGGCCCGGGGGCCGCTGTTGCGGGCGTCTCCCTGGGAAGACCCCGCCCAGGCGCCTGGCCCAGCAAACAGCTCCGCTCCTGGCGAGCTTAGAAGCGCTGATCTGCGGGGTCTGGAGAGCTGCTTTCTGCCAGCTTGGCGTTAGTCTTCACGCTGCCCTCAGTCAGAGGGAAATGCGGGCTGGGCACTCGGCGAGCGCGCGGGAGGCTGCGGAGCGCACACCGGCCCCCGCCTC